TAATGGAAAAATATTGTCAAATAGTTTGTTCAAATAATTGTGCTTCGGATAACATTGTTGGCAATGAAATATTTCATAATCGTTGTTTAGATTCATGTAATAAATTATGTGCATGTCAATAAATGGATTACATTATATAGTTCTTAGTTTAAAATAGTACTAACTTGAATATTCATAAGGCAAAAATATTATTTTATTTGACTAGAAAATACATTCCATATATTAATATATTGACTTTTAACTGTATACTTGTATGTTTCTTGTTTTTTTTTTTTTGATTTATTTAATATTTTCAAAAATACAAATGAGAGAAATTAGTAAATAGACGAATAAAAAAATATTTCATATGTAACAAATCAATAGAATGTAAAAGATATGTATGCTTTAATGTCAAAGCAATCTTCTATACAAACATATTATTCACATTGAAAATCTACAATGACATCATTTGAGTTATTTTCCGTATGCATACTATTCTCTTTCAGATACAGACTCGGGAGATTGCTTTTAATATTGATTTCTATTAAAACGTCATATCAAATAACAATCAGCTTCTCTATCCAATTCGCTTTTACTAGACAAATATGGATTGTTTTATTCTATCTATTTTAGGATACACATGTCTTCTGAAATAAAATAGAAAATTATTTTATATATTATAACAAGACATTTCTAATAAACGAACTGTGATTGTATGTCAATGTATGTCACGGTGTGTGACGTTTTTTTGATTACATCGGTCACGGTTTGTGGATGAAAGTGCACACTTTTACTCCTATGCTTTAACACTCTTCTATCATGAAAATGGCCATGCTAGAATAATTCACACACATCAGCTGACAAGTAAATAATGAATTTAGAAAAACGAATGAATGTTAAACTTATCAGATGAAAAATCATATAAAGAACGTAATGGATAATATTCGTCTGTTTGATTATTAGACAAAATACGAATATTTCAATATATATTCAAGTCGAAGAAATATTATTATAAAAGATTGTGTACGGTAAAATGCAATTATTTAACAATCGTATTGATAGACAATCAGGTATAATGTCATACATTCTATACATACAATCCTCTTATCATGTTGTAAAGTTTATTCTGCATCGAATTCGTTTTTATCCAATGTTGTGTTATTATTAGCTTAATTACACTAATAGTGTAGTTCTATATTTAAATCTTCAGTAACATATCATCAAAACAAGTCACATTAAGTATGTCAAATATAGATAACGTAGATCAATTAAAATCTATACGAATATTATACTAGTACCACCTAGAAAAAAAAACGCAAGTAAATTCATTAGATGGGTGATTAATGACTTACCTTGACAATCACTGGTTATCTACAACATCAAAGTTCGATAATTCTATTAATGTAAATCGGATATAGATATATATTTTACACTCATACAGCTATGAAAATATTTAAAAATCAAAGAAATTTAAGATTTCAAAGTTGTGAAAAAAAGAACTTCTGATGACAAAAATCTATTATATTTTTCTCTTAAAAATCTAAATCTTTTTGTTATCTTTCACTTAAAAATATTTATATAAAATCATGAAAATTAAAATCTATATCTTTTTCTTATTTCTTATTGAAATATAAATAGATGTCGTTATGTATTAGTTCTTCAACCGAAAAAAACACATTTATAGAACCTTGAAATAGATGAAAATAAATAAACAAATTATTATTTCTATTTACCAGGAAAATTTCTTTTTGTTTTCGTTTTCATAAGTTTACATAAAAATACAGTTTATTTATTTTCTCCATCAGGACATCAGACGTATCAAGATATTTACAGCTGATGTAGAATGTATTTACATTGGTAGCTTATCCTTGTATACAAGATAATAAACAGTTGAAGAATATTGTAGGTTATTGGCTTAACGAATATTATATGTATAGATAAATGTATATGTTTTGTTTACATCTTCATGGCAAAAAAAGTTAACGAAGAATAACTTCAGTTTATTTGATTGCTAAATAAAAATAAAATTTCCATACTTTGGTAATTATTTATTTTGTACAAATTTATATCATGTTCAAAATTATTTAACAATACAAAATTATTTATGAGATATTTCAAAAGAAATTTCAATTTAGATCGAAAATGAGTTATTGAATCGTTTTCATATATTATAATTAAAATATTTATCGAATAATATTCCCATTTTGTTAATGAATATATACAAAAACAAAACAAATGACAACAATTTATGTATGAAGAAAAAAGAAGAATCAATTAAACAATTTATTCAAGCATGAAAATATTAGAGTAAGAAAAATTTCTCAAGTTTATTTTATTATATTATTCTCTTGAGAAAGAGAAAATAAAAAACAAATCCTTGACAAATATCTAAAATCATTCGTTATTATTGAACATGAATAGTGTTGACATTACCTTCAGATCAGAAACAAAATCTAAATAGAATTTCAAAAGAAAAATCGACATCAACTATTATTCAACAAAAACGGCAAATCAATTTTTCAATTGTACAAAAATACTTAGGTTTTTTTCTTCTCTTATATACTCATAGAAAATATTTCCTTTTTTGTTTTTGAATTTATTAATAGAAAGAAGCAGCAGTCGAGCCCATCGGCTTAGTCTTGGACCCAACCAAATCCGAATCCGGGTCCAACAGTTTTAGACCTGATGGGCTCTCAGCAAAGATCTTATGTGCATGGAATCTGCTGCTTTCATTAATTGAATAAATATGTTTCGTGAGAAATGTACTATAGAATGAGATTTTTCAATGTCAATCTTAATAGATCCCGACGGATGCCTTATAACAATACATTATAAATTGTGATAGATATAACAGTGAAAATGAAATTTATTATCTTTTTATCAGGTGATAAAAAAAGATAGAACAAAAAGAAATTTTAGGATAATATTAACTTTGTCGATTGAATTGGAAGATAAGCCCTTTGATATTTCGCTGGCGAATGAAAATCTTCTTAAGAAGTTTATTTTTGACTATTATCGACCTAACATTTAGTTATTCAAGTACGTATTTGTAGAAAAAGAACGCTAAAGACAAAGAAAAGAAAGAAGGATGGTCACAATAGATTAGACACGCACTTCCTCTGGTATATAGGAATGATTAATAGATAGTAGAATAGAAGATAGAGAAGAGAAAATTATTTTCAAATTTCTACTTTTTTCGTTCTACAATCTGTTTATTATTCGTATATGTCAGAAGAGGTGCATGAATGATCTATTGTGTCCATTCTTCTCTGTTACTTCAGTATTTTTTCTCTATATATGTATTTAAATGATTAAATTTTCAGTCGATAGAAATTAAAAATAGGTTTCTTAAGAATTTATTATCCGTCAGCGAAATATCAAAGAATTCCATACATACAAACAAAAAGTTTATTTTCAAATTCAATTAATCGATATGACCTTTCTCATTTCTTATCAATGATTTCATTTTTCATGAAGCATCAAACAAGGTATTTACAATATTGATGTCTATTCATTTCACATTTTAATCCAACAGAAATCGAATTAATAACTTTTTCTTCTTTCAAAACCATCATTTTTCTGTAATTTTCTAAAATATGAAAATCTAAAGCTCAACTTCTTCCGCTTCGTTTAATATCGTATCTTACATATGTACGCACTTAACTTGAACTCTAATTCAGCGTTCGAGACCAGTTTAGGTAGTGACGAGCATTCAAGAATCTATCCAAGCATTTCTGAAGGTATATAAACAGCGATGGAAGCATCTGAAAGATTCCAATGTTTTTCAACATCATGACTTTCGTTTTAGAATGTTTGTATTCTTACAGGTTTCAAATTATTTACTTTATTGTGTGTAGACTAGAGATGTGCGAGACTAATATTTGTTGGTCCTTGGTTCCAGTAGCTTCTTGTCAAGTGGTATCGGAACTAAAGTTCGTCTCGCAAATATCTAGTGTGGACCTACTAGCCTGAAATTCTTTTTTTTTGCTTACTTCTATTCGTTAACTGAAAAGGACTGTACTAACGACCGAACTAGAACACTTCGGCTTTGATGCATGCCTAATTGTATATGGAAAGGTTTTGTGACAACATAACAATAACAATTCTCTTTGCCTTGATAGATTATCTTTGATCTATTTATCTTTCAGTACGAATAAAACGCTTTTATTAATGAATTATTGCAATTAATCAAACTAATATTTCTAACTTATCCGAAGGTATATATACATTTGTAGCACACGTAGAATCTCAAACAAAGAAAAAAAAACCAACACAATCACATGCAAAGGAACTAATACTAACAAAATTATAAGTTTATTTTTTCTGTTCATCTCATCATCAGATACTTATTAGTTTACAATAGTAAAACTTTATATGTTGTTATTGTTTTTCAGATATTGTTTTTTTTGGTAGTAGAAGGTGTGGAGAAGTTAAGAATTCTTTAGTTAGAGTATATGGCATCATCAATAGCCGTCGTTCCATCTTCCTCGATTGAAAACGGAGAATCTCATCGTCAGGAAAAATCTTCATCAGAACAATTTCGAAAATTGTTTATTGGTGGTTTAACTTATACAACTACAGATGAAAAATTAAAGTAATCAAAAACAAAATACAATATCATTATTTTGTATTCAAACTTGTTTTTGTTTTTTTTAGAGATTATTGCTCAAAATATGGTGAAGTAACTGAATGTGTTATTATGCGTGATAGAGAAGGTCGATCACGTGGTTTTGCTTTTGTTAGTTTTAAAGATCGCTCAATGGTTGATGATTTTATGGAACATCGACCACATACACTTGATGGTAGAAAAATAGAATCAAAACGTGCAATGCCACGTGATGAAGCATCGAAACCTGAAGGACAATTAACAGTTAAGAAAATCTTTATTGGTGGTATTAAAGAAGATATTACTGAAGATGATCTTAAGTATACATGATAATTGAATTTATATGAATTATTAAATTGTTTTTTTTTTTTTACAGATCACATTTTCAAAAATTTGGAAATATTATTGAGTGCAATATTATGAAAGATAAAGATGGTTAGTTTAAGAAAACGATTGAAGATCATTAGTAGTGTCTGTATTTTGAGAAATACATTATGATTGTTTTTTTTTTGTTTGAGGATAAGGACTAGTTGACTGCTGAAATGAATATTTTGAAATTATCCATCATTAAAAAGAAATAGAATGTTGTCGTCTATTGGAATAGAGTTAGTAAGCTGTGAGTCAGCATTTTTGTGAACTCGAATCCAAATCTAAGTTTTTTTCATCGATATTTGTCACTTATAGTGTATATGAGCAGGGAAAGATCTCATCTCTCGATTCTTAATAGATTATAAGTTTATATTGAAAAGACAAGGAAATCGAATAATTAATAGATAAACAAAAATTGTCAAAACAACAATAGAATCAAAACCTTGAACTTGATGGAATAGTTTTCGTTATATTTATGTAAATGAGATCAAGTAGAGTGCTAGAGGATCTATGTTTTTGTAGACTCAGATCTGCAGCTGCCTCATTAGAGTTGTGATTTAGTTTCTCAGTAAGAGTCTCTGTGCAAGGCCAATATTCAGATTGTTAGTAATGCGGATATTTTTCATACTGATTTTGACCAACTCATTTGAAAATTTTAGTTGAAAGTTCTCATGAGACGACGAGTTACAGTATTAAATGAATTCGAGTTAGCGCTATGACATGGATTCCTTATCTCAAGGCATATTTATTGCTTACATCTTGAGTATGTGTCGTGGACTTTGACGCTAAAAAACAGACATATAGGGCAGTATTTAGTGCTAGGAAGAAAAAACTGTAGAAGGCTATAGAATAGAAAAATTACGAACGCAACCTTATTGAGTAAAAATATATTCTGGATATGTTTTTTGGAAGGAAAACAAGATGTGTAAATAATGAAACCAATACATATAAACCGATAGATGGCAGGTTGATGCTTGCGATTAGAATTTATTGTCCCAAGCATTCGCTCAAAATATCAGTTCGATATCATAAAGAATAATTGTAATTTATGAGATGCAGTTTTTTTTTTTATTATCTAGGATTGCAGATATGACACACATACAATAGAAAAATAACATATAGGTATAGTAACAGTGGATTAAGGAGAATGAATGATAGGTCTTAAGAATCGGTTTCTCACTATAACTTGACGGAGGATGCAAGAGTTCTACATTAATTTAGATTTCAGTCTAGCGTGACAACAGTTTCTCGTTGAGAGTTGATAATGTTCTTGTTAAAAAGAGCAAAGTGTGTGTAAAAATGTTTCGTTCAAAATATTTACTGAAGGCTGATAAGTTTTGAGCACTTGCCTTTTGCAGGTTTTAGGTGCATTACGTATGAGTGTAACCAATCCGAAGCGTGCTTTCTAGTGGTATCAAAATATTCGACTTACTAAACTACAAGTTCCATAGAAAACAGTTTTATTATACAACAAACGTTACTTTTTTTCGTCACGTTTTTTTCTAAATATTATAAATCTACCCGAAAAAAACTATAAAATAGACCAATCTTTTTTTCTTAATTATTTCTCTATAGGCTTCTTTTTATATTTTTTTCGTTTTTTCCAGTGTTTGAAATGTATAGGGTAAGCTTTTATCTCTAACCCTTCCTTTACCCTACCCTATAGAATAGGATACAATAACCCTGCAGATCTCTATTCGGTGTGGTATATGTATATAGTCTATTAAAAATTTTTAAATTATGGAATTCGTTCGTTATATTGCTTACTTACTATTATAATTTTAATAAAAATAATAAAAAAAAATTATTACTAATAGATTTGTATTTTATTAGATAAATTACGTGGTTTTGCATTTATAACATTTGATGATTATGATGGTGTCGATCGTTGTATTCTTGAGAAACCTCATATTATCAAAGACAAAGAACTTGATATACGAAAAGCAATTCCACGTGAACATATACCACGTACTTATACTTCAATCCCTACTAATAATAATATTAATTCTGAGTTTTATTATCAACCACATTTAATGATTAATAATCCAGCATTATCTCCTCTATCATATACTTATTTGCATCCATCGAATTATTTATCTAAACCAATACCATTAATGAGTACAACCAATTCTTGTCCACAACCAAATGGTTTACCACCTACAACATTATTTTTTCCACCAGAATTAGCAACTAATACATATTTTCCTTCACCATCATTACGAACAAATACTAATATTCAATATCAAAATGGCAATCGAAAGAAAATAACAAATGAACAATTATCTCAATCACGGTAAAATAAAAAAAATACACATAATAATATTTTGAAGAAGAAAACAGCTGTTAGACCTATCTCTGCAGAATTTATATGTGAAACACGATATACCTGTTGTTGTCAATTACAAGAGATTGCTTTGTTCTATATATTTTGGAACAGATGTTTGCAATATTCTGTTGCTAATCCTCGAGAAATGCAATAAGGATGTGATTCATACATGAGAACAAGATGTTACTGATATACGACCTTTGATCATATATCAACAACGTCTATGATGAAGAGGCGAAAACATTGCTAAAGTATCTGTCACATTCAGCCGCCATGGCTGAATGGCTATGTTATTCGACACGTATCCACCGGATACTATGGTCAACTGTTGGTATCAACAACCATAGAATGACTCTAGATAAGTAGAGAGCTGCGGCTTCGTTCAGATCCGGATGCGGGTCTAAAATTTTATTTTTTTTGGGTCCGGATCCGAAACAGCTTAGATCTGCAGTTCGCTTATACCATGTATAAACAAAAAACAAACTCGGGTCTTGACTTGACCGGGTCCGGACCCAAAAAACTGTGAACCTACAGCTCTCTACAGATAAGTCATTGACGATTATTTATCTTGGACTATCTTCTGATAGCATTCTGTCTATGCTATGATATGCATCTACTCTTGTCGCTAGTATGTAGTTAATTAGTGTATATAGGACGTGCAAGAACTGTGTTAGGGTAGCATTCTGTTCAGATTTATATATAGTAATAATTGTAGGAAAGCTATCGAGCTACAGAATATGCCAGTAGACAGCACTTGATACCATAAGATAAACGAAAAGCACGAATATTCTTTATATGACAATTTCTCAGTAGCGTTTGTAGAGGATCTAGACCCATATTTTCACTCATATACTTCAAAACTTCCTTTAGACTGTATTTCACAAATTGAATTCTTTATTTTAGTTCAATAAATGATGAACAACATCGAAAATTATTCATTGGTGGTTTATCTTTTAAGTAAATATAAATGTGTATGTTTAAAAATTTCAATTAAAATGTTTTTGTTTTTCTATCGTTTTAGAACAACTGATGAAACATTAAGAGATTATGCAAAAAAATTTGGTGAAATAAGTGATTGTTTAGTCATGAAAGATCAAAATGGTCAATCAAAATGTTTTGGTTTTGTTACATTTACTGATACACAAATAGTTGATGAATTTATGAAACAGAGACCACATATACTCGATGGTCGTCAAATAGATCCAAAACGAGCAAGTAAGAATTTATTTAGTTCTTTTTTTCGCAATTATTTATTTGGATTTTGTTTTTTAGTGCCACGTGAAGAAGCAAATAATGATGATATTCATTTAACAGTTAAAAAGATTTTTATTGGAGGTATTCGTGATGGCCTTGATGAAGATACATTAAGAAAGTATTTTGAAAAATATGGGAATATTAATGATTGTCTTGTTATGCATGACAAGGATGGAAAAACACGTGGATTTGCATTTATTGAATTTGATGGTAAATAAAATTTATCTATTTACAAAAAAAAACTGAATGTTGTTATAAGTAGTCATAGATAGTGTTCTGTTTAACTAGACATATATGTACTAATCCATTTTTTTACTTTGTTCAAACATAATTTCATTTAGAGTGAATCGATTTTGATCATTCGAGATAGCATATAACTAGTAATGAAGCAGTACAATGTGATAAATTACAGACACACTCTAATATTGAGTCCAGAAATTGTTGACCTAGACTCAACTGATGAAAACTTTTCGGATCCGAACTCGAACCATATTTCTAATCTCAAAGAAATTCTTTAGTCTCAGTATTCAAGTCGCTCCAAAGATGCGAAGCATTCTTTATCGGTTATTTGTGCTCTACTTTGATATGGATAATATGAGGGATCGAGATCAAATTTTTTTGATACCGATCCCCGTAAAATTTTATTTTTCGATTCCGATTCTGAAATCAATTCCGCGCATCTCTACTCGGGACCAAAATCGATTAGCTCAGCTCATGTGTAACTCTGCTATACACATTCTACAAATTTTTCAAATAATCATGACAATAATCCTATAATAATCAAATCATAATTGGCTGTTACTTTTAGATTCTGACTCATTTGGGGAGTACGAAACTCGGACCGAATCCATAAAAAATATCTAAAATCAAGTCTAGAACCAATCTGACGGGCTGTAATCTAATAAAACTAATAAAGAATTTATATTCTTGAATCTTTCCTCTTATGACAATTTGAATGGTCTCTTCGACAACATATCATAGTCCATCGGCTCATCATCGACTTTCTAGCTCAAATTCGGTATATTAATATTGATATCTAATGGTAGTAGATATTAGGAAGTCTGAGACCATCGCAAGTAATTGATTTCGTTGAGAACTTTCTGTATGTAAAATTTAAACTCGAAAGTCGATTTTATAGAAAAGTATGGTATCTTGTTGAAAGACTCGATCAAATAGCCACACCTGAAGAAAAAAAAAAAAAAGTGTATGACTTTGCTTTTTTACACTATTGTCTAGTTACAATAGGATCTATTTAATCACATCAGAATCAAATCTATAACGACTGATCACTTTGCGAACTACTTTAGTAACGACAATTCAATATCACTACTCATTTTTAAATATCCGAAAATCTTGAGAGAAAAACGATTTAGATAAATATTGCCTAAATTCTAAATTGATTGAAAAAATCTTCATTCGTTTTGTTTTTTAATTCGTAGACTATGATCCTGTTGATAAAATAATTCTTGCACGACCTCATACAATAGGTGGATATCGTGTTGATGTTAAAAAAGCAATACCAAAAGATCAACGGCAATTTCAAGCTCAACAACAAGAATATGCCCTTCAAATGCAAGCAGCAACAGCGGCTTATTATTATTATACTAATTTTCCATATCATATTTTACATAATCAAATAATATCTCCTTCTTTAATCAATCAAAGTGGTGCTCTTATAGATGATGTTTTTTCTCATACTCGAACGTCAAATAACAATAATAATATTTCAAATCCTCTTCGTTATTTTCCTACACGCAATAATCATCAACAATCATCACATAGTAGTCAGTAATATAATATATTGATTACTAATTTTATTTTATTTTGTTTTCTTTTTTTTTGTTTTTTTTTTGTTTCTTTTATTTATCAAACGAAAAAAAAAATTATTCATCTATATACACATATATACTAGCATATTTGTGTCTAAACCAAAAAAAAAACGCTAAACAAAATTTTTCACTCAATATTTCGAGTGAATAATGGTGAGAGACAAACATATAAAAGAAAAAAAAAACATATTTGTTCTGTTTAATCTTCTTTTTTGTTTCTCGTATTAGTGTTATTTATGTTCTTCTTGTTATTCTCTGTTGTTTTATTTTAATGATTGAGAAAGTAAGCTTTCCCATAGATTGGCATTTATATATATACATACTACAGTTGAAATTTGGGGAAGAAACGATCCAATTGTTATTTTGACTTAACAACAACAAAATACTCATTCTAAGTAAAACTATGGATCTTCTTGTTTTTTTTTTCTTTTTCAGATTTCAGTTTATTGTTTGGTTTAATGAGAATGTAAAGTACCATTGATTGCTGCTAAATGGTATGTATATGAGAAATCTATTTTAGAAGATTTATGCAGTTGTTTTTACTATAGAAGAAAAGATAAAATAATCTTAGATATTAAATGTCAGTTTAAGTTTTGAGTGGTATCATATTTTAGATTTCGAAGAATTATGGATGTGATATCACAGGTCAGAAAAAGTGACTTTTATTGAAAACGCATTATCTCAAGAAAGAAACATTCGTTTTGATAGTGACATTGTGTTCACTGTAAGACTCATGAAATCTATACATGGAGAAATATTCAGGTTGAAGTTCTCTACTTTAAGTTTTCGGAAAGTCTCCTATTATAAGTAATAAAATTAGTAAAATTTCCACAACTCGGAAAGAAAAACCTATGAATCCTTATCCTTTTAGCCTTTTTCTAGTCTTACTGACGAGAGAATTCCTTCAGATATTGAATTACTTTTTGACCGAGACTTCGTTCATTTAATGTATGCTAGTGACTTATAGAAAAGTCTGAAATAGTTTGGTTTTCCGAGCCTTTGTTCCTCAGATATCGAGTTTTTCAACAGAAAGCTGTGATCACATTGAAAATCGACTTCCTGTATTTGACTCCAAATTGTGTGCGATCAAAGTTCTCAAAGAGATTAGTTCATGAGACAAATTTTCGTTTTTTTACTATTTCTTTTCCGAAGATGTAAATTTACTTTTACGCATGAGAGAATTTTGAATATTTCATATCTCAGGATAGGAGATACTCGAAAAGCTAAAATTTCCCCAATCAATTAATCTTATTGAAAACTTTATTCACGTAAATTTTCGATTTTCCACATATTCTTTCATAGCTGATAATGATTAATTGTCTAATTCATAGAAAGTAATTCTTATCATCTTTTCTTTAAAGAATACAATGGTTTCTGTGGTACGTGCTCAACAAGTCTTATTCAAAACCAAACGCTTTAATAATATATCATGGATATATCGTCGTACAGCTTCATCAACTCCAGCTCCAACAACAACTGAAGTAGCTCGTCAAGCTGGTCAAAAAGTAGCAGCCGATGCTGCTGTTACAACTAAAAAACCCATCGCCGGTGCACCATATAAAACACTATCAATTGGTGTACCAAAAGAAACTTTTTTAAATGAAAAACGTGTTGCTCTGACACCAACCGTTGTATCAACACTTGTGAAAAAAGGTTTTCATATTTGTATATTTTCAGTCGTTTCGATTTAATTCTTCAAAAAAAAATTTAATAGGATTTACATTACATGTCGAAGAAAATGCAGGTGAGGGTGCATCGTTTCATAACGACGACTATAAAAATGCAGGAGCAAAAATTGTTTCACGCAATGCCGCATATGCATCAAATATTATTCTCAAAGTTCGACAACCAAGCAATGAAGTTTGTTTCATAGAAAAAATTCTTATTTTCAAAAAACAAAATTTTCTTTGTTTTATTAAAGGATATTAGTATATTTCAAGATAAATCAACATTAATCTCAATTATATATCCAGCACAAAATAAACCTCTAGTCGAAGCGCTTGCTAAAAAACATGCAACTGTTTTAGCAATGGGTAACAACTTCAAATATTTGTTTATTTTATTTGAATATTTATTTATTTAGATTGTATTCCACGTATTTCTCGAGCACAAGTATGTAGTTACTTTTTTTTTATTAAATTTCTAATAAATTTTTATTTGATTTTCAATAAAAGGTGTTCGATGTACTTAGTTCAATGGCAAATATTGCTGGATACAAAGCTGTTATTGAAGCAGCTAATAATTTCGGCAGATTTTTTACTGGTATAAAAAAAATTTTAGTTTCTCTTCAAGTTGTTTTATTTTTATTAATTTAGGTCAAATAACTGCTGCTGGAAAAACTCCACCAGCAAAATTCTTAGTTATTGGTGGTGGTGTTGCTGGTCTTAGTGCAATTGGAACAGCTCGAAATATGGTATTGATATAAGTTCTTTTTGTTTATTTTAATACTATTAAATAGTTAGTTTTTATACTGATGATAGAGAATAATACGTATGTATTGTTAGATACAAATGCTTAAAATTTTGCCGCGGTTGAAATTTTATTTATGATTCATTTTTGTATTATTTATAACTCTATACACCTTCATACAGGATAGTAGCATATTGGGCTTCTAATCTGTTTCGTACACTAAAAGCTTAGGGGCAAGGGACTTTTATTGTGATCGACTTTTTTCTTGATTCGCTTACTAGTACAATACTTCACAAAATTCAATAACATAGAATTTTGAAACTATCTGACAACTTTATGAATTACCAACGAACGAAAAATTCACTTATATAATTTTCCAATTTCATTTCATGAGATAGTCTAAATATTGAATTCATTACACTATTTTTCTTATTCATATGTTCATCGATTATCAGTAAAGCACGTTCAATTAATTACAGACTCGAGGGACTTTATTCATCAACACTTCGTGAATCTTAAAAGTTGATTCACAGTTCAGGAGATATTCTTCAATTATCCTGAAGACATTATAATGTAATTCGTTTATTATTGAATGAGCACTTCTCATTTTGATGGAATTGAGTAGAGATGAAACGATAACGGTGATTGCCGTTGCCACCAGTCTTAAGTAAAGCGGTGCACAAGCGCGTTTGACCGAAAACCTTTAGTCTATTTTTAAAACATTCTGCTATTTTCTTCAAATGGCCTCCTCGACCTAAAATATCACCGTCTTCATCGTTACCCTATATGTACACGTTTAGAACAGTGCATCGTCACTATTGCCTCTCAGAAATACATAGTTCAGATCTTATGAATGCTTCAATAATGAATATCGTATTCATCTCATATTGACACTTGTTTTTCAATTCGATGTACTTTCACATGATTTCAGTTTACTATTTTCAGGTTTCTGGAATATCTCGTTTTTTTAGTTAACAATTCATTGATCTTTCTGTCAACTAAGAACTTAGATCGTTTCACTTTTAGATTGTCTATAATCCTAAAACATTAAGAAACCTAACAGAATTGTATTAAGCATGTCTATTCGTCCGTTCCTGGAACTACTGTATATTATTAATATTCATGCGTACGCATTTTTTGATTTGCGGAAGATACACGTTGGTTTATTCAAAGAAAACATATAGAACAAACAAAATTAGGTACAGCGGAAAGTAATGAACTTATATATTCGATGATTTGCATTGCTATATTGTGCTCGCTCGGATAGGATAAGCTTCAATTTTGTAGGGGTATGGAGTTAATAAAAATATTTGATGAAAAATATTCATTTTTTTCTTTTGTTTTTATTATTGAATTAGGGTGCAGTTGTACGAGCATTTGATACACGTCCAACAGTAAAAGAGCAAGTACAATCAATGGGTGCAGAATTTCTTGAACTTAACTTTAAAGTAAAGATTTTTATTTTCATTTTTATTGATATAATAAGTATATTGGTATGCATATTTTAGGGAAGTGAAACTGGTGAAGGAACAGGTGGTTATGCTAAAGTATGATTTAGTTTTTAATTAATTTGAAAACTCTCAATAACAATATATATGTTTTAGGAAATGTCACCGGAATTTATCGAAGCTGAAATGGCTTTATTTGCTAAACAAGCTAAAGAAGTTGATATTATTATAACAACAGCTTTAATTCCAGGTATTTCATTCAATATCATCAAAATATATCTATGTATTTATTTTTCCAGGCAAAAAGGCCCCAACATTAATCACCAAAGTAAGTTATCTAAAAGAAATAAGAATCATTTAATATTTTTAACTTTCTTTTTTAAGGAAATGATTGAAAGTATGAAACCAGGTTCAGTGGTTGTTGATTTAGCTGCTGAAGCTGGTGGTAATATTGAAACAACACGTCCAGGAGAAAAATATGTTTATAAAAATGTTACACATATTGGTTATACAGATTTGCCATCACGTTTAGCTGCACAATCATCAGGTTTATATGCAAATAATATTTCAAAATTTCTTTTATCAATTGGAAGTCAAGATCACTTTTATATTGATTTACATGATGAAGTTGTACGTGGTTCACTTATTTTACGTGAAGGAGAATTAATGTGGCCACCACCACCAGCACCAGTCATTGAAAGTCCTCTATCAAAAGCACCTAAAAAAGATGAAAAAGCTGTAGAAAAAGCCGCTGCTGAAGCTGTAACACCAAATTATTTTACAAAATATTTAAAAGATTCCTTAATGTATACAAGTGGTATTGGTGCTCTTCTTGGTTTAGGTATTATTTCACCCAATCCACAATTTGCAAATATGATTACAACATTTGCTTTATCGGGTATTGTTGGTTATCATACTGTATGGGGTGTACAACCAGCTTTACATAGTCCTTTGATGAGTGTTACAAATGCTATTAGTGGTATTACTGCTGTTGGTGGTTTATTATTAATGGGTGGTGGATATTATCCACAAACAATTCCACAAGGTATACAGATAATTTTATTGAATATTATATTGAAAAATTTTCTTTTAGGTTTGGCAACTGC